ACCACTTTTAATCATGGCAGCAAGGTGATATAGTATGTGAGGACACTGCTTTGCAATCAAGGCAATGACACAGGGGTTGTAGTCTGCACCGTGGGACAAACCTAATGGACCATTGTTCTCGACCAAATGGCTTGCTGACCTACAAGCTGCTCTTCCTATTTTGTTCTAATGCTCCCAAATGCATTCACATTTTGTAAAGCGCAGGATGCATTTCTCTATAAAGCATTGCATTTTTAAAAGGATAGAGATAAAAATGTGTGACATGAGATGACACAAAACATCTCAATTAAAGTAAGAAGATGCCTTTATCGAGATGTTTAGTGCAGCTTCCTCTGTCTTGGGGGGGGCATTTAGATCAAATATAGCAGGACTATGCTTTATTTATTGATTTACTCTTTACAATGACTGACCTCCCCCTTAAATGTGAGCTCCATGTCCAGCAGTATAGTGCACAATCAATGCCAATGCTATTTGTTTGACGTAGGCAGTAAAGCATCACTGCTGTGCGGCTGCTTCTCTCCGTACCACCCCTTTATTTGGTTCTTTAGTATTTCACATACTTCCAATGCTGGAGCTCATATCAGGTTACAGCCACTCCTGCAAAGAAGCAGCCAAAACCTGAAATGACTCATATATGACTCATATATCCCCCGTTGTTGGCCATTCACCAACCGCTGTGCAACGCTTCGCCCTAAATATTAATAAATAAAAAATACATATTCAACTTCTGAAGGAAGATGTTAAAGTTATTTCCTTCAGGCGAGTCTGAGGGAAAGAAACTCACCGCTGAAGGGCAGTATCCGATCAGCAGCAGGAACAGCAGCGGGTTCAGGACCGCGGACAGCGACCGCATTCTGTCGGCTGCTCGGAGGAGTCCCGCCTCAGCGCCGCAGCTCCGTCGCGACACGCGCAACAGCTTCACGCGCCGGTCTCTGGCCGTGGTGCTCGTGCCACTTCGTCCACTACGCGCTGGTAGAAGAAAAAAACACGCCTTCCTGGGAAAGAGGAGGAGGAGGGTGAAAGGGGGGCATCCAACCACTCGTCCCCGTCACGCATGCCGTGAAGGCAGCGGGGTGAAAAGTGAATAAAAGTTTGTAGGCACGCACGCAGCGAAAAACCGTTAATGTGCGAATGTGCGTTAGAGACACGATTATGACATCACCCCAGCTGCCTTTCTCTGGACTTTTGATGGATCAGGGTACCGCGCGTCCACGTGTGCCGTGTAAGTGTGTGTGTGTGTGTGTGTGTGTGTGTGTGTGTGTGTGAGAGAGAGTGCATGCGAGGAGGAGCCACCGGCAGCTGTGCGATGACAAAAGTTGCAGCTGGCAGCATTCACGAGGAATTAGGAGAGAGAGACGCGCGAGATCAGAGCTGCGGCTGCTGGTGCACGCGCGACGCGAGAGAAAGATGAGATAGGAAGATGTGCTTTATATGGCAAGGGATGTAATTGTTTAATTCTAGTCAACTACTTTAGTGTTTACGTGCAAATGTGGTTCAGTTCAGCCGAAATTACCCCACAACATTTTCAAGCGAACCTTTAAGATCTATTGATGATTTATATGTTATATGGCAGCGTCCTCATGCCTCAATAAAAAAAACAAAAATATGATGTTCAAAAGCAATTGTCAGTTAACAACATTATTATTATATTACTATTATTATTATTATTATTATTATTATCTCTTTTTTAAACTCTTTTCCTTATAATATTAGTAGTTTTTGGAAGAAACTGTGCTTTTCTTTTCTTGTGGCGTAGTTCCGTTATAACCTTCCTCCCGGGCCAAAGCCATTAGTCACACACCCTCATATGGCTTAATATAATTGAGACAAGGCAATAAATAATGCGTGGAGTGCTCATTATGCATGCGAAAAGAGTTCACAGTTATTGGGTACAATGCCAAGTTGGTTCTTTAGCTTTTGTGCTCAAGCTGTTTTACTTCAGTTACAACTTAAAGCTTTTCATTATTAGCTTGCAAATTGTGCTGTATTAAATATAGACTTTTTTCAGAGCGATATTTGGTTATTGATTGAATATAGTCTCTAATACAGACCAGGAACATTCTTCACCTAAAGATCTCTGGACTTAAGCCCAATCAATGGCTTCTCTGCTTTGATTGCCATCGGACGTGTCTCTGGAGGATGAGCTCACGGGCTTCAGCAAGAACCTGTCCTTGGCAGCAGGAGTCGCCTTCACCCCGACTGAAAGCCCTTTCACTTTGGTTTGTCAATCAATTTGTTCCCTTTTTTTAAATTAAATTTGTTGGTCTTTTTTTTTGTTGGTTTAGACAGTTGAAAGTCAGCAAAGGAGATGGGAGGATGCAAAGCCCTCTCTGGTTACGAGCACACATTTGGTTCCAGACGTTTTGGCCTTCTCTCGGCCAGCAGATTGGAATGAGGTGCTGGTTTGGGCAATGACTCATGGTACTGTTGGAGTGTTTTTCCCATGAAAACAGGGAATGCTTGAACTTTCTCTGACAGGAGGGGGACAACGTTTCTTGGCGCCCTTGAAGAAAGGTTTTTCATAAGCCATGGCCTTCATTTCTGATCCGATTCTCTGTAGCAATAACTGTGGCTGCTGCTTGCTTTGTGACTCTATCCAATTCACATGACATATGATGAGCCAGGAGTTTCAGTTTAAATGGACTTTTCAATATTGGTACAAATTGAAGTAGTGAAGAAACATAGACCGCTGAAAAATGTTCACAAACCAATCGGATTTATTGCGTGAAGGAATTCAAGAAATATCAAAAGAAAGAACGGGGCAATTATAAAAAGGGACGTCATCTGTCGATGAAGGCTTTCATGGTGTTCCTCTCCCAATATCCGAAAGTGACATGGTTTTGGCAATTTTAAACAATCAATCATCTTTTATCCAGGAAAATGTGCACTTGTTTTTGTTGTTTGTTTGCTTCAGTTGCATACCCTCCCCTAGTATAAAACCACAAGTTTTCTACCCGTCGTCGATGAGCAGTTTATCTGTTGGAGTCATTAGAAGAAAATAGATTTTCTCTACAGCAGCTTTTTGTTTGTTTCTTCCTAGATTTGGGCCTCATCTGTCGAGGTATTCAAACCAACCCGTCTACAGAGTAAGATTTGCAGAGTAGAACTAGCGACGTAAAGGTTTGCGTTAAAGCGTGTTCTGTTGGGCACATGTTGTAAAACACCGATAGGCGCGTTTGGGATTAAGGACTTAAGACTACTTAAAATTCACAATAAGAGTGAAATTATAACGGTGATTGCTTAATAATAAGTGTGATTGTGTAAGTGGTGGAAGAGATGTTCTGTAATAATAATAATGTGGCTTTTACATGAATATCTGCTATAGCCCGAAGGGAAAAGGATGGTGCACACTGAATAGAGGGTTTTCAGGGTGTGAGAAGTCCTTTTAAAATTGTCAAACTTTTGGGCTGAATCGGGATGGTGGTATAGTACAGAAATGTTGGTGAGCCAGACTATTATTCAAGAAGTGGAGTGCTCGTCTGTGCATCAGTTATCTCTTGTTGGATGTAGAGTTGCCGTACAATACAGCTATTTCGAAGGTGAACACAGATTGATGAAAAAAGTCCATCGCAAAAAATGTTGAAAAGGGGTCTTAAAAGGTAATTTGAGAAGTGAAATTAAAAAAAGTCAGTGCAGTATTTTGAAAAAGGTTATGAAAGAATAATTTGTATTTTATGTCGAAAACATTAACATTAGTAATATTTAATAATATGACACAAATGTCATATTCAATGTGGCAAAATTTGCAGTACTTGTTAGCAGGACTGAATAAAATTGTACATTTTCATATCCTGTAAATTTCCTACGACGCCAGTGGTGGAATTTGGAAGGTGGCACTGTGCATAGCTCCTGTCACCAGTGTGTGAATGGGTGAAAGATGTCATGAAATGTTAAAGCGCTTTGACTGGTCGGAGGACTAGAAAAGCGCTAAACAAGTACAGTCCATTTACCATGTAATAAGACTTGTTTATTTATTTACTCAGTATGCTAAAAACGGATATAAGATAATCTGCAAGTGAATGCAAAAGATCGCACTGTGCATTTGGCCAAGCACCAAATATTTATTTCCATTGTACATAGTTTGTGAACACACTGTAATTACACTGATTTTAAAGCAACGCTGAACTCTATGCTAGTATAGTTCTTGAGCTGAAGAGGTGGAGATGCAAAGAGATCTTGATCAAAGTGAAATCAGAGAAAGATTGTGGAAGAGGTCACAGGACCGGAGCGCTGCAGAATCAGTCACATGAACCCAAACACCACCTAATCTTAAATTATCATGGGAATGGAAGGGAATATGTTTAAGGCAAGACAGAATCACAAAAAACCCCCACTTATTTCTGCACTCAAATACAGACGTTCAACCCGACATTTTTCAGAATCCAGTTTTAATATTTTTCAATGAACAATTCAAGGCACATGAAAACATTTTGTTCATTTTTACAGTTAGTTTTAAAGTTATTTTGACAAACAAACCAACAGCTGAACAATTTAAAAAGAAAAAGAAAAAAGCTTTTCTTTGTAAGTTTGCTACTACAAATAATGTTCAAACTTGATTGTGTTATCAAGATATAAGACAAGCCAAATATGTCCACATGTTTTAAATAGAAGATGAGGTACAATGTAACTGGGTGAGTTATTTATCTTTTGAAGAAAAAGCCATTTCTTACAATATTTATATTAGTATCTCATTTTGGCTTAATAAATCCTGATGGACGTACCAACTAATATGTCATGAAAAAAAATGCTTTTAGTTTCAAATGTTATGTTCCAGTTAGGTTATCTCTCATAGAAATCAAATGAAAGGCACATTATTTACACAAGGATATTCTTACTTACAAATTGGAAGGATCTCAAAAGACATATTTCTTGAAATTGGAATTCAACACAGATCCAAAATATTAATGAAATTTAACCAAATATTTATTTAAACTCCAAGAGCTGGGGCATGCAAGTTTTTAGAGTGGATTCGGAAAGAAAAATATTATACACAATAATAATAATAATAATAATTACAGTTTTATCAAAAAGCACTTTTTGTAGCACCTTGAGTGTTTTGTGACTCCGCACAAAAGCACCTCTGTGGTTGTATTCAGAGCAGCACCTGGAGCATCCAGAGAGGGAGGCATGGTGGGAGGCCAAGGACAAGGGCGGACGGGGCTTGGGTTTACTGGATCCTCTCTTTTGTTGCTTAAAAGTGCGCAGCTGTCAGCCACAGCATCAAATGTCCTTCTCCTGATGTCACTCCCATTACTGCATGTAAGTTAAAGTCATGTGATTCTGGCCCTACAAGGGCGAGGAGTAGTTTCCCCCGGTCAGCAACGTCAAGACAGGGCCTAGGGGTGCTCTTTTTCTCCCAACTCGAGCAGATCTTCTCTGGAACAAAAGAAAAGAAAGGTTTTTTTTTTCGCCTGGCAGGTAGATAGGTAGTTAGGATGTTGGGTCTCGGCGTGTGGGTGTAAATATTTACCCTGTGACCCCGTCCTTCAGCGGGAAGTTGGTGTGTGTCTAGCCGAGGAAACAGACAGGGCCGAGCTCGAAGCCAAACCTCTGGTTAGATTCCCCAAAGTCATTCAGCATGACGTCAATGATGGGCAACTGGTCGATGCGGGGGGTGTTGATCTCCATCACCGTCTTTGAATAGCCCTGCTTCAGCTGAAAACACAAAGGGCACACGCCTGTTCAGTAATGTGGTGCAGCAGGATTCACAATTGCTTCATAACAAGCATTGTCCTTCAGAAATGGATTGAATTTCTTAACTTAAGAAAGTAATGTTGTAGCATGTCAAGTAAAAGGGAAAAAGGTAAAGCCTTAGTATAGTGTCATAGAAAAGATGAAAGGGCATAGCTTGGTAAAACATATTTTCAGGAAAAATAAGTCACAATAGTGCGCCTTACATCTTAAATTAGCTCCTTGAGGTAGTAATTAGCGTTCAGATTAATTGTATCGGAAAGACTAAGAAATTTATCTCTGTTATGCAGAGAAGTATAAATGCAGAAGGAATAAATGTACACGTACGGTCCACCAATGTTATCTTAATAGTGTTTTCTGGTACTCTAAGCACTCATGTTTTAAAAGGACTTAATACTCATCTCACAAAGGCAAAAATGTAAAAGCTGGCATTCACACTTAAATAGGTATTCCAGCTGCGTACAAAGAAGAACTTTATGTTTTCTTGACCAATATCAGACTCTTGGTGTGCAAACA